GAAAGCAGAGAAGGGACGGGGAGGTGGGAAGGAAAAGGAAGACAGAAATAGAGGGAGATAATGGGGAAGAAGGGGAAGAGAGAAAAGAGAAGGAGGAGGAGGTGAAGATGAAGAAGGAAAGAAGAAGAAGACGAAGGAGGAAGAAGGAGGAAGAAGAAGGAGACGAGGAAGGAGTAAGAGGAAGAAGTGAAGCAGGAAGAAGAGAAGAAAGAAAGAAAAAGAGGAAGAAGTAGAAGGAGGTCACGAGGAAAAGTTACCCGATAATTACTCCATCTGTCTCGTCACTCCTATTATAAAACGAAGCGGATTTCTCTTCCGGGATAATGTTTTAGTGTGGACTGTAAACAAACGTTTGTTTAGGCAAATAAAATGCAAACGCTAGATCAGTATCTGACATTGGCCTTGACGAACTGGTTATACAAAGGCACTGCACTTGCTCAGACTAGTGCAATAACTCGATATGTTAATACGCTGACGGGTGGATTATGAACTTGATGCACAATGCAGCCGTCTGAGGTGCTTCTGCAATCATCTGTGAGACAAAAGCCCTGAGCGGTATGTGCACAGCGCATAATCAATTCGAGCCGGATTAAAAAAAAATTGTTATAGGAGATCGTTAATGATGCAGATATAAAGGTTTGTAAAGGTATAGATGCGTACGTCTACATCTACACCTATATATATTATTATATAAACTTGTTTTCTATATCGAATTACATACATGTTCTACTTATAAATAAATCTCTATATAGCATATGCATATTATAAATACGCATAACTACATATGCACATTTCCTAGTAACCCCAATGTCTTCTAGAAAAGGTCACTGCTTCGAAAGCAATCAGACAAAATATGCCTTACAGATGTTCCTCCTCCTCCTCCTCCTCCTGCACCCCCTCGTGATCTCGGCCCAACAGGCGACACCTCACACTCACACCTCCAGTTCTTCACCTGCCACACCTCTCATTACCTCCCGAGTGAGTGACCTACACGTCGATGGCGGATTTGCGATTCCCGTACGGCCTTGCTGGACCTTTAGTGGGGGGGTAGTCGGCATCTCCTTAACTAGGTCGGCTATTAGGAAAAAAAAAGTCATAGATATTGGTAAAACAGAAGGACACGTATTAATGCGAAATTTTGGGGTTCTCACGGCTCGCCATTGTGCCATAAGCTTGTATTTCCAGCAGGTAACTCTCGGTGCAACTACGAAGAGATGCATTGGCCTTAATATTGTAGAGGATATGACCGCATGGGCGAGATAAGACAGGAAATGTGGAGAGTCTGGCGACTACCAGTACGTCATGGTGTTGTGGCTGCAGCGCGCAGGTCGGGGTGAAAGAGCCACCATCATACACCCAAAAACCCATTTTTAACCTTATTTCTATGAACCGACGCGAAATAACGCTAAAGTCAACTTTCGCCTGACGTTTTGAAATACAATAGCCACATTCACTTCCACAAATATAAGGGATAGTTTCACTTCTTTTCAATTCACTGATCTGATCCAATTGTCAGACCGTCTCTGACACGTACCCTATGAAAGACACGTGCTGAATGCCGTCTTCGCTGCTCGGTCGCGTGTTTTGGTGCCGGCCGCGCGTGCACACACATCCGCGTCAGTAAGTAGATCCACTAACCTCCATTATTTAAGTGGCTGATATTCATTTTTCACTATTACTATCACTCCCATTTGATAAGATTTGTTTCTTACAGTCTCTGACAGGGTCACTTACTTGATGTAAAACTGTATTATTTTTCTTTTGAGAAACGTCAAGAGTGGCAATTTCCTCGAATACGAGCGGAGTACATAATGACTCACGAAATCTATAAGTGTTTAGTGCTGTTGTGTCACTAACCTCTTATTGTATAGGCGTAGAAATAAAACCAAAATGTGACTATAACATCATTTGTACGCTCCTTAAAATACCCGTAGGGAAGCACGTGTTATGCCACGGCTCTTCCTGAATTCTTGCAGCATTCTACAGACACGTGCTCTATGTAGCTGGTCTATAAATAGTAATGGCCCAAATCTGATAAGTTAACTCAACCATTTTAACAGATGCATAATCACATTATACAAGCTAATAAAGACTGCAGGTACATACTCCCCTTATCTTGCCGTCCATTTCTTCATGTCATATGATCCCATCTCCGAAACCATAAACTTTAGCGTGCAGAAAGCATACCATTACCTGTGGATAACACATCGTCATTGCCGTTAAATGTTATGCATAAGCTACATAATGAAATGCAACGAAACTGCATTCAATAATTCGTATTCGCCGCGTCTATGACGTCATAAAGCACCCAAGTCGTATTCTTCCGCGAACTATGGCTCTCCAGCTGACACTGCTGAGGCACTTCTCCTGCAGAAATATATCTCGATCTCAGGTTTTAGGCCTATGCGTGAGAAATGCCTCGACCACCGGCGTAAATAGCATCCCTAGATACCATAAGCGTGGCACTGGACATCCTCTGAACAGTAATATACAGAATAGGGTGAGTTAATTACCCGGTCATCCTAAGGTGCTCTGGTTTCAGGTGTGGATGAGAACTCGGGATTATAAATGAACTTAAATGACCTTTTAAGTGTGGTTCTCTGTGTGACGTCAGTGGAAATGGGGTTGAGAGAAATGAAATGGAAATTTGTGAATATTCGTAATGATTTTTATTTGGATGTCGGTTCCGTGACTGTGACGCAATCGATTTGGTATGTTGTCGTGACTTGTAGTTTTTTATTTATTATTTTTTTAAAATTTCTCGAGGCTAGTTTGTTTTTCTGTAATATTTTTTATTTTTATGTATTTTACTGTGATGCTGTGACATTCTGTGGGGATAACGTTTAAAAGAATTTAATATTTGCTGAAAAAAGTTTTTATTGAGGGTACATTAACTTTTCTCCATACTTGGCCAAGTGTTAGGTATTGCTAGTAGTGGTGACACACTAAAACCCTGACCACTACCCAACCTTGGGTCATATTAGGTTACATCTCTCTTGTCAAGCTTTTATGTATCAATGGAATCTATAAAACCTAATAAACAGTTTGCGGTCGAAAATATTTGCAGACATGAAGGGTTTTGCACTAAAATGTATGGCCAGTGTATTCTGGAAAACACTGACCGAATGACTCACTGACTCACTGACCAACACCCAAAGGACCGATTTATTTGGACATTCATTCACTTAAAATCTCCAGCTATTATACTAGTACCATTTCAAAGAGTCTGAAAAGAAAGCGGTTAGAAAATTGAAAAATGCCACAGGCTCAGAGTCAGTGTGCTTGGCAAAAACAGACCTGTATATATGTATATGTGTAATAATTATTTATATGTATATGTATAGATATGTATATATTTATGCATATATGTATATGTATAGATATGTATATATATGTATATATATGTATATATATATATATACATATATACATACACATATAGATATACATATATACACATATATACGCACACATATATGCACATTTATATATGTATACATATATATATGTATACATATATTGTATACATATATATATATGTATACATATATATATATGTATACATATATATATATGTATACATATATATATGTATACATATATATATGTATACATATATATGTATACATATATATATATATACATATATATATGTATACATATATATATGTATACATATATATATGTATACATATATATATGTATACATATATATATATATATATATATATATATATATATATATATATATATATGTATATGTATATATATATGTATATATACTAAAAGCTTTCCACATACTGTTTAGAACAATAATAGATTCATAGGCTTCTGCCCTTACTACTTGATAATGTATTTACTATAGGTACTTGAAAATCTGTGCTTATGACACATTGAAAGGTTCTTATGGATGATAACAATCATGTCTTCCCCAAAAGTAGGTTGCCCTTCCAATGGAACCTGCCCAAAGGCCTCCACTCATTAAAATCTGGCCCTGACAAGGATATCTGTATTTTTAGAAAAGGGGATATGTCATGTAATAAGTAGGTTAACTAACAATATTAGTAAATAAAATTAGTAAGACTAAAATTTTTGAACATTAAATGCAAGACATTTGTAAGACATAATATATTCCAGATGGTGATGTAGATCAGAATGGAATCTGTGAAAGAACAAAGCATTGTAACTTTGGTGAACAATGACCCTTGGAAACACAAGAGAAAGTACGGAAGGACATGGAGACAGAGACGCAGACAGAAGTCAGATGAAACAAGGTCGTATGCAGTGGACTCGAGCTCGATATTGGTCAGCCTTAGTCAGTGGCTCAAGCAGAAGGGGATGAGAAGGCATTTGGGCTCATGTCTAAAAGTGGCAGTTTTTTCCAACACTGGGCGAGGACTCATGGCAGTGAATGGTCTCAGAGCAGGGGAAGTAGTGGTTAGTATTCCAAGACGAGCATTGATTACTTGTGAGGATGTGATGCATGACGATCATCTTGGGGCTGCCCTCAGAGGCTCAGGAAAGAAGTTGAAGGCTATGGAAGTGTTAACTATATTTCTAGTGTACCACAAGCACTTACAGGAAACTTCAGCTTGGAGACCTTACTTGGAGAGTCTACCAAAAAGTTACACTGTACCTTTATATTGTTCTAAAAGTGAGCTTGAGCTGTTGCCAACATTTTTGAAAGCCTTTGCAGACCAACAAGAGGAAGATGTTAATGCCTGTTATATCAATATCAAAGAGATAATTTCCCAAACTTTAGGGAGATACACATTATGTATGGATGATGTCAAATGGGCATGGTTCACTGTGAACACAAGAGCAGTGTATCTTAAGAATGAATCTCCTGATCCTATATTGCTGGATGATGATAAATATGCCTTAGCCCCTTACCTGGATCTCTTGAACCATACTCCTAATGCTCAGGTAACTACAGGACTAAACAAAAAGAACAACTGTTATGAAATTGTAACACAAGTCCCCTATAGACCCTTTGAACAAGTTTTCATTAATTATGGACCTCATGATAATATTAAATTATATAGAGAATATGGGTTCACTGTTCCAAATAATCCTCAAAATAGTGTCCCAGTGACTTTGGATGACATAAAAAAAGTTGTTAAAAGTGTCTGCAGTGATAATCAAAGAATTAGTGATATGTATAATAAGTGCAAATTATTAAAAAGCCATCAGCTAGATGAGGGTTTGGTAGTCAGTAATGATGGTCCCTCGTGGACACTAGTGGTGGCTACAACCATCTTACTGATGACTGCTATGGAACTCAACAGATGGCAGGTTGTTTATCAAGACTACCAAGGTGTACAGCACCGGAGACTAGTTCTAGAAGTTCTCAATCGTGTTATTGAGTGGAAACTGCAAGAACTCAAAGAGTGCCTTGAAGAAATGGATTCTGTTGTGACTTGCACTGAAGCTTTTATGGCTGGCAGAAATCTTGTTAGAGAGTGTTGCATGCTTTTGAGGGAAGCAGCCTTAAGAGAGGGCAAGGCAGTGTGACGATCTTCTGATAATAGAATAAGAAAACAAATGTATGGACAAAGTACAGTTTACTAGGGTTTCTATTTCATTACCTATTGATGAAGGCTGAGCTAAATTTGATTATTGTTGATGGTAAAATTTAAATAGCAAGGGAATACAAACAAAAGATTATGATTTTGGAATGTACATTTGTTGGTTGTATGCCATATTATGGGTGACATGTAGAAACCCTATGAAAATATCAGGGTGTATAATGTTTTTCAGCAATATTTTTGAATAAATTTTTATATGAAATTTGTGTATTAGTAACCTACAATCTTAATCTGTTGATGGCAGGAGTACATGTATTGTCAACTATGGCTATTTGTTACATATTTGTATACATATTTATTATTTTTAAAAAATCTAGATTCTGTTGCCACAAGCACTTAACCCAATGCCGACGGGCATGACATGTACGTATGTGCTCTGCCCACTGTTAGTTACTTGTTTGATTGTTTTTACGCTTAGATGACTACACTGGTACTAAGTCACCAATGAACCAATTACGAGTACTGCCTGTCTCGCCCGTTTACCTTTTTCTTTGATTTACAAAAATATTTTACGTTATCTTAATTTGCTGTTACTAATGTTTATAATATTATAGTAATTATAATGTATGATAAAAATAACATGATCGATATTCATAGCACTAGTAAAAAAATACATTTTTCCTGCCATTTCAAATCAGGTAAGGTCACAGGGTCTACTGATTGACTCCTTTGTGGCTAAGCACTAGCAGAGCCATCTATGTGCAGAGACATTTCACAAAAAATTAGGAAATGGGCACAGCATTTTCCCCATTTTTTATTCATTTTCCCCAACGGCATTGGCTTGATCATCAAGGAGCTAGACCCAAATGACCTCACCTGTTTATGCCATTCCTTGATTTTTTTTTCATTTTTTATTTATCTTACTGTTATTATTTTTTGTTAATGTTGTGGTAATGATATGAAGAAAATAATGATAGTGATAATCATAATGATAAAGATAATGATGACAATAATGATAATAATTACACTGATAGTGAGGATAATGATGATTATGATGATAATGATAATAATGATGATAATGAGAATGAATTTCATAATAGCAATAATAAAAGTAACTGATTTTTAAGAATTACAAAAATTCAATAATCGGGGTGAATAGGTGAGATCAGGGGGTGTTATTGTTATTGTTATTGCTATTGTTGTTATTATTATTATTATTATTATTATTGTTATTATTATTATTATTATTTTATTATTATTGTTATTATTATTATTATTATTTTATTATTATTATTATTATTATCTTTTTATTATTATTATTATTATCTTTTTATTATTATTATTATTATTTTATTATTATTATTGTCATTATTATTATTATTATTATTATTATTATTATTATTATTATTATTATTTTATTATTATTATTATTATCTTTTTATTATTATTATTATTATTTTATTATTATTATTATTATTTTATTATTATTATTATTATTATTTTATTATTATTATTATTATTATTATTATTTTATTGTTATTATTATTATTATTATTATTATTATTATTATTATTATTATTTTATTATTATTATTATTATTATTATTATTATTATTATTATTATTATTATTATTATTATTATTATTATTATTATTATTATTATTATTATTTTATTATTTTATTATTATTATTATTATTATTATTATTATTATTATTATTATTATTATTATTTTATTATTATTATTATTTTATTATTATTATCATTATTATTATTTTATTATTATTATTTTATAATTATTATTTTATTATTATTATTATCTTTTTATCATTATTATTATTATTTTATTATTATTATTATTATTATTATTATTATTATTATTATTATTACTATTATTATTATTATTATTATTATTACTATTATTATTATTATTATTATTATTATTATTATTATTATTATTATTGTTATTATTATT